AATACCTTAATCTTAAACTTAATCTTTGCTTTTTTTCTGGTGATACTGCTCCACTGTGGTTTGGAATACATACACCTCATTGCAACTGACCCTTCCAGAGGGCAAAACTCACTATTAGCAGAGACTAAAACCTGTCGCACTATCCTTACCCACCCATTTAACCAAACCACTAAATCTGCCTTCCAAGCTCCCCAAAGATCCATTTCTAACCTTCTTAGTTCAAGAACATAGAAACATTTAACAGTATAGTCAGGCCAACAATTAGCATTAAACAATTTTTCGTCTTCAGTTGCTTTTGATGCACCTTCTTCCCAGAGTGCAGATGTTTTTAAGCACCGTGACATCAAAGATTTCAAATCATCAGAAAACATCAGTACTCTATACTTATTATGTGGTAAATGTCATTTGGTAGCTAACACAAAATTGAGGGGGATTTTTTTTTGCTGGTTTCTGCATGTAAACCTTTGTGTCTTAACTTGTTTTTTTTGCATCTCTTGCACAGTTGGATCATGAACAGAGATGCAAAATACAGACCCTGTTTCCATGCACTAAAGTTTATATGAAAATAAGGTAATGAATCTCAATCTATTTACTTATGTATTTCTATTGGATTTTAAATAGGCCCTTAGGCTTTGTCAAAAAAAAAAATATCACTGCACCCCCTGTTAAAAAATACTTCCAGTTGCCCTGATCACGATTATCTAAACATTATGCCAAGCTTGAAGCTGTAATCAATACATCTTCTAAACATGCAGAGGATGAACCATGGAGGTTAAAGGTTAATCCTAGATTGCTTTTAGTTATGATTGGATATTAAAAAGATAAATGTATTTTTGACTCCCCCTGTTTAAATATTTGTAATACAAAGATTTTTAATATACAACTTAATTTTCTCTGGCTATAATTTTTCTTCCACTATGTCTAAAAGTTCTTTTTTTATTTATTATTACAAATAAACAGAATAATTCGAATTTTAAAACTGGTTTTATTTTTATTGTACATAGAAGGATGCAGAGAAACCTTTTCTCCTTTCCTCAGCTCTTTGTCCCCCCAAGTGTCTGTTTGGTAAAATGACATCTGCTTACACTAACATTCCGCCAATAAGGATTCTGCTTAGTTAACAGAATTTAATCCCATGACCAGCAACAAACATGCAAGTTGGGTGGATAATAGTGTGAGTTACAAAAGGCAAGGAAAAGCTGCTCATGTTTTTGTCTCAATAATGATTTGATTTCCAACAGTTCTTTTTTTCTGAAATTAGCTGATAGACAAGAATGAACTTTCTAGTCGAGAAAACATCAAACGATAAATCCAAACACGTTTTGATTTTTATTGTAAATAGAGGCAGATGAAGAGGTTTTAATTTAGTACCTCTGCAAAAAATCAACTTGTTGAGAATACAATGTTTAGGTTGCAAAGTAATCTGTTCATCAGTACATTTAACACCTGCTCAATTAATAAACAGCAAAGCTGCTGCAAAAAATGTATGGTGAAACAATTTTCAATTTCTAACAAACCACAAAAAATGAATTAACAATCTACACAAAGCAAAAATAGGATAGATTCCTTTGGTATATTTTTTTCAGCACAGACAAGAAGTTAATAAATGAAAGCCGCCTTCCAACATCAGCAAATTCTATGAGTGATCTGTACAGTGGAGAGATAACAGTTTGAATTTTTAAACCCTCTGTAGACAAACTGAACCATGAAGGGAAATGTTTCAGCACAGAGGAGAAATCTGAATTTAGTCTTTGAAACCTGATAAAAATTAACATGTGGTAGTAAAAAATAAACAGATTACATGGACAAAACTAAACAAAACTAAGAGGACATTAAAAATGTTTTGCTTTTTAGTTTTAAGGTTTTCTGTTTGACCATTCAAGACTTAAAGAGACATTTTTCTGTTTAAATTTTATGCAGATTTTAAGAAAAGTTGTTTTAACAACCTACACAGAGGTTTCAACATAAATCCCCCAAAACTGTAAATAATGTGGAAATATTTCATATATTTACTGTAGGAAAATGTGTCCAGATTTTTTTTTTATTTTATGTAGACATAAAACATATTGCTTTGTTGTAACACCAGTAATTAGGAATAAATCAAAAACATAACTCATCAAAATAGTGCTGATGAGACTTATTTTGAAGCTGGCCTATGAATTATATTTAATGTATTTTTAAAGGATATATTCCATAATGCCTTGCTCTCCTTCCTTGACATTGTTTAAGACATATTTATATATTTTTTAATAAATAAGTTATATTCTACAAATGTATTAATCTAATATATTGTGGGCAAAATTTCCTCTTATGATCTAAGGCTGTAATTAAACATTAAGTTGCTGATTGATTTATCTGTAATAATTTTTTCATTGTCCAGAGGTCAGAAGGCACAAGGAGCTTAATAAATTCTCCTTCCTGGATTTCATTATGTAAGCTTGCAACAAATTCATTTGTAATTAATAATCCTAAATGTTTTTTAAGCTCATCAGAAAATAGGATTTGTGTAAAATGTATGATGGCCTTGAGTTTATTTAAAGGAGTGAAAAGGAATTTAGTGCCTGATTCAGTCATATCAGAGACAGGAGGGATCTATTTAATTAATAAATCTCACGTCCTCTTCTATTCTTAAGAAAACTATAACACCAATATGTATTTTTTGTGTGTCTGAGTGTGTTAAATAGGCTATTTGATAGACAAAGTGTTAATTTCCAACCCTTTTGTCCAAGAGAGAATCCTGACCAACCGATTCATTGACAGATTCTGTGTGTTTACTGCTGGGAGAACCTTCCTCATTTCCGTCTGAAATAATGACACTAACGAAACCATTTCATCTGTCTTCTTTTCATTGCTTTGTTTTTTAGCGATGGTCTCGTCTTAATGCCGTGTGAAAATTTACTTTGGATGTTTTAAAGGACGAAATGTGGAGAAAATACGCCTCTTGATGCTCAGAAACAACGAGCTTCAGACACTTTTGAGCGTTCCTGGGTTAAAAAGAGAAAGTCCTGGAAACCAAATGCTACCTCATTGTGTGGCGCTGACAATTACCTTTCCATTAAAGTAAGTTATATGATAAAAACTTTATTTTAGCGAAGATTTAAAGCCTTAAAATGCCGCGAAGAAAACACAACTGCGGAGCGATTTGAGGCGGGAGCAGAGCAGCAGGCTGAGTTGTTTCTTCAGGGTTCTCATCCATATTATAAATCCCGCCTCCTGCTCTGAGCTGGAGACGTTCAGAGGAACATTAAGAGAGAAACATGGCAGAAGAAGCTCCAGCAGCTGCACCGGCTAAAGCCCCGGCAAAAGCCCCGAGGAAGAAGTCCGCTCCTAAGGCCAAGAAGGATGGACCCAGCCTGTCCAAGCAGATCGTGGACGCCGTGGCCGAGTCCAAGGAGCGCAAAGGAGTGTCTCTGTCGGCGGTGAAGAAGGTCCTGGCTGCTAAAGGGGTGGATGTAGCTAAAGCCAACAAGCGGATCAACACGGCCATCACTAAGTTGGTGACCAACGGCACCCTGGCTCACACCAAGGGTACCGGGGCCTCCGGTTCTTTCAAGCTCGCCAAGGAGTCCAAATCCGCTAAACCAGCCAAGAAGGTGGTGAAGAAGAAGGCTCCCGCAAAAGCCAAGAAGCCCGCCGCCAAGAAGGTCAGCACCCCGAAAAAAGCCACCGCTGCTAAGAAAGCGACAGCAGCCAAGAAGTCTCCGAAGAAGGCAGCAGCGGCCAAGAAAAGCGTGAAAAAGGTGGTGAAGAAGAGCCCCAAAAAGGCCGCCCCTGCTGCCAAGAAGCCAAAGGCTGCTAAGAAGCCTGCAGCTAAGAAACCTGCAGCCAAGAAACCTGCAGCTAAAAAGGCCCCAGCTAAGAAGGCCAAGAAGTAGACTGCTGCTTCAACCAGCACTCAGTGCAACAAAGGCTCTTTTCAGAGCCACCACAGCTTCATCTCAAGAGCTCATTCCTTATAAGCAGAAAATTAATTACTTAAATAGATAATAATCTCAAACTTAAAGGCAGTGATTAGAGTGGCAGACCAATGGAATGATAAAAATCAGTTAATTTCACTCATAACTGACCCCCATGGGACAGCCTCATCCATGATTCACAGATTCACCCTAAAATAACGAGATCATCTCTAAATATGAGCAAAAATGTGACCACATTATTAACACTAATACCTATTTTGGAAGTTTCTATGAATGGAAGCATGGATATTTAATTAGATGTGTGTGTAGCACATCTAGTGATTTCATGGAGACGTAGCTGAGATCAGAGCTAAGCTCCTTCATATTTTTGTGTTGATTATTATGATTGATTATTACAGTACAGCTCATTAAATATGTGGTATTATTAAACGGATACTGGAAAGAGTGCAACTGATTTATATATTTTTGTAATTGCACTTGATATTTAATATTTAAACTAAACAATTTCAGTATGGACAATATTTAAGTTTTATCTAAGTAGTTTGTAATAACTTTAAATATTTATTATAGGACCAAAAGAAAAGAGCCCAAGGAAGATTTCATAACCAGAATAATTAGCAGTAACAGATATATGTAAATAAAACAAGGAAGGTTTAGATTTAATTTTAATAAAACTTAAAAGAATAACATCTTTATGAGAAATATATTTCTTTAGGAACTTTAGGAACAGTTTAAACTGAGCTGTATTTATTTTGTAACATTTGAACTAGTTTTGGATAGTAATCAGGTTAAAGAAACTATAAAAATATTAATTATCAAAAACTTTGCTAAAGCAAATATCAGACTTTATCAGACTAGTATACCCGCTTTAACCTTGGGCTTTATTTTACTCCGGAATTTTTTTTCTTTGTTACACATCTCGCGCTTTATTTTGAAAATTCAAACTCAACCAATGACTGAATTGGATGGAGGATTACCACGTGTTTAATTTGGTCCAATCAGAGGCCACCTCACGCCGCACATCTCTTTATAAAGCTGCTGTTTCGCCTGTGGAATCATGTTATCCTCGTTGAGTGAGAGATAAGCACCTAGCCCGCCATGGCCAGAACCAAGCAGACCGCCCGTAAATCAACCGGAGGAAAGGCTCCCAGGAAGCAGCTGGCTACCAAAGCTGCCCGTAAGAGCGCCCCGGCTACCGGTGGAGTGAAGAAGCCCCACCGTTACAGGCCCGGTACCGTGGCTCTCCGAGAGATCCGCCGCTACCAGAAGTCCACTGAGCTTCTCATCCGTAAGCTGCCCTTCCAGCGTCTGGTCAGAGAGATCGCTCAAGATTTCAAGACCGACCTGCGCTTCCAGAGCTCCGCCGTCATGGCTCTGCAGGAGGCCAGCGAGGCTTACCTGGTTGGTCTGTTCGAGGACACCAACCTGTGCGCCATCCACGCCAAGAGGGTCACCATCATGCCCAAAGACATCCAGCTGGCCCGCCGCATCCGTGGAGAGAGAGCATAAGTCAATCTCATCCAACAAAACCCAACGGCTCTTTTAAGAGCCACTTAAATCTTTGCAGAGCTCTGATCCTGTATTAAATGGTGTACAGCATACATTAGAAATGGAATGAAAAGAAAACGCTCCTTCCAGATTAGGCTATAAGCGTTTGTTTACGCCAGAAGGCTCAAGTTGTCAAGAGGAGCTTCCATCAGCAGCAAACGATTTAGAAACAACCAAGTATTCTTATAGTGTATAGTAAATCCAAAATGTACAGAATTTAATGTATAGAACATCTATAGATGTTATGGTCGTTTTAACAAATCCACTTCCTATAAATGTTGGATCGTCTACTAATGATTATTGCAGCAAAAATGCTACATAAATGTTGCTAAATTTAAACTTCAGATAATTTATTTAAATATTTTACAAGCATCCACCGAAATCTTAAAAGTGGGTTGTCACTTTGTTTTACAGTAATTTCTAATTGTTTACTAAACTCTTTTACAGTGTTTACATTTGGGTACAGTTCTGAACAATTCTTGTATGTAGTGTGTAGCTCCTGAGATACAGAATTTCTCTGGTACAACCATATGTGTTTTCTATAAAGAGGTGTGTTATTGTCTGTTCTGGGAAAAGCAATAAAAACGTAATTTTACATAGTTTTATTTATGTGCATGTATAGGTAGAATGGATAAAAGTATTGACAGTAAGAAAGGGAATGGATCTAATATATATTACATTTTTATCATATTTTATCGTCTATTAACTTCACATAATGGCAATTTTTTATATATAGAATCATCTACCGTATACAATCAGGACTCATTACTTTAGACAACTATGACCGTATTGCTATGTGTGAATGGGTTGAATAATTTCCACCAGCTGGCGGCCTGAAACCACGGCCTCAACCTTTAGCCACGCCCCGATCTGTCGGCTGCATTTAGTGGTAATTGGCAGAAGCAGACGGCGGCAAAAAGCCGCCTGCTTTGATTGGACGATTGGATTTGTTGTTATATGTGACCAATCAGAGAGCATATGATCCACGACAGGCCTTATATACTCCCAATGCGCGTCTTGACAGTCACTTGTTAAAGTAAACCTTTAGAGAAATCATGTCTGGACGTGGAAAGACCGGAGGCAAAGCCAGGGCTAAGGCCAAGACCCGCTCCTCTCGTGCTGGGCTGCAGTTCCCAGTCGGCCGTGTTCACAGGCTGTTGAGGAAGGGCAACTACGCTGAGCGCGTGGGCGCTGGAGCTCCCGTCTATCTGGCTGCAGTGCTGGAATACCTGACTGCTGAGATCCTGGAGTTGGCTGGAAACGCTGCTCGTGATAACAAGAAGACCAGGATCATCCCCCGCCATCTGCAGCTGGCTGTCCGCAACGACGAGGAGCTCAACAAACTGCTTGGCGGAGTTACCATCGCTCAGGGCGGTGTTCTTCCTAACATCCAGGCTGTGTTGCTGCCCAAGAAAACCGAGAAACCAGCAAAGAAGTAAAACTGCAGGCTCTCTAAAACAAACCAACGGCTCTTTTAAGAGCCACCCACATCTGATTAATGAGCGGGATTTACTGTTACAATATATACACACTTACGGAGGAAACAATAACATGGATAGTAGATGTGAAAAGAAATGTCAATATAAGAAAATTAAAAGAAGCGTGAGGAAGCATACAAATCCTAATAATGTTCATATCCACTGAAATAAATACATTTGAATGAATTGAAAAAAAAAATCAAGCACTCCATTCATAAATCCAAGTTTGTTAAACCCCAGTGTCATTTGCAAAGGGGCGTTTGAGAAGGATGCAGAACAATAAAGTCATATTGATTTCCTTAGTTTTTGTTCATAAATATTTTAGGGTTTTTTTCTGTTTTCTGTTGCATTTTCTTCATGCAAATTGTAGTTAAGGAAGTGCTGTTTTTTTTCTTACATGTTTTTTTATAGAATATTTTACAAGGGTTCAAGTCGTTTCATTGTAATTGCGTTTGTTAAATTAATAACATGTGGAGACTCTAAATGTACACGCAGACGTAAATTCCAAACACCTAATAAAAGTGAAGTATAAAGTTGGAACGAACCTGCACTCCCTACACAAACCTGAGTATATTAACCAACACTGACAATATCACTGATATCTAATACTATCTAATAAGTTTTTGGAAACTCCATATGAGCAAAAACCCTTTTTTTATGAATTGCATCTACTTTATAAATCAGTTATTTTCATTGGGTTTGATCCTATATCAGGTGGATTTTTTCTTTATTCATTAAGAGTCTCTTAATATTTCAACTTTTGTCTTAAAAGCGGAAATGTGGTTAGAGGCGGGAAAAGAGGGATGCTTGTCCTCACTTAGGTCCGTAGGGTGTATTTATATTTAGTTGTTCAGCGATCTAGCACAATTCTCTCTGTCAGTTAGACATAGACAACATGAGCGGCCGAGGCAAAGGAGGAAAAGGACTTGGAAAAGGAGGCGCTAAGCGTCATCGCAAAGTCCTCCGTGATAACATCCAGGGCATCACCAAACCCGCTATCCGCCGTTTGGCCCGCCGTGGTGGAGTCAAGCGCATCTCCGGTCTCATCTACGAGGAGACCCGCGGTGTCCTGAAGGTTTTCCTGGAGAACGTCATCCGTGATGCCGTCACCTACACCGAGCACGCCAAGAGGAAGACTGTGACCGCCATGGATGTGGTCTATGCTCTCAAGAGGCAGGGCCGCACTCTCTACGGCTTTGGAGGTTAAATTCTAGCTCAATCCCACAAAACAACGGCTCTTTTAAGAGCCACCCACATTTCTTAAGATAATTCCTGCTGTTATAGTCAGACACTTCAGTAAGCTGGAAATACCAGGTATACTGCAGCTCATAAAAGGCTCTGAGTTTTAATATTTTCAGTATTAAATAGTACAGAGGTTAGAAGTAGGACATTTTTTTTTTTTTTTTTGTCTTGGAGGAATAAAGTATAATTCAGTCATTACTCACATAAAAACACAGCCAATTGTTTGAAAGGAGGGTGTTGTATGGAGGACCAATCCTGCCATAGTTATGAATATATAAATAACTGCAATATATTGCTGACCTACAATTTCCTTTAGGGAGCAATTGATTACAACATTAACTACATTTAAAAGAATAAAAATACTTTTATATATAAATCTTTTTTGCTTTTTTTATAGATGGATATCCATTTGTTTTTGTTTTAAACAATGAATATTGTCAATTACTTTATTTTGCTCTGAAGAGGCAGAGCTGCACTATATGGCATTGGAGGTTAAATTCCAACTCAATCCCACAAAACAATGGCTCTTTTAAGAGCCACCCACATTTCTTAAGACGATTCCTGCTATTTGAAATTTGATTAGAAATTCGGTTTACCGCTGGTATTAAACAGCTTTAAAAAGAAAATTTTCACTGACATTTCAGAATATAAAAATCCCTTCATTGTCCCATAATAGGGAAATTCTATTTCAGCAGCAGAAATATAGCAAAGACACCAATGTGCACCATGGTAAATAAACAGAAAATCGTATAAATGTGGTATAAAGCTAATTAATAATTGGTAGTATAGTTGGATTTAATTGCCGCATGTGAAAACAAAGAGAAATGCCTATACAAAGTCACATCTGTATGTTAGTGACATATGGTCTTTGAAAATAACTATAATTATGTATCTTTTGCTTAAGCCAGTTTATCTCCAATTTATCTCCCTCCGCTTATAAAAATTCATCAGACTTGTATTACTGTTACTCTATCTTTCCTTATTTCAAGTAAATGTACTGCTGTTTTATTATATTTTAGCTCTCGTTGTCCAGCCACCCATTCATTGTTAAAACACTTTCCCTGTATTTTATTTCCATACCTATTTTTTTGTGATCCAACACATCGCTGTGGTTTTTCTCAGCAAACCGGTGTATTTTCGCCTCTTTTTTCTTTTCTGCCATTCATTTTCCACCTCTATGAGCTAGTATCAATGGCTAACTTCCATAGTGTTCTTGCTAGTTCATTTCACTGTAGTAAGCTGTATTTAACAGAATTTCCTTTTCTCTCAGTTGTTGTAGATGTTTCGACTCCTATCTAGGAATCTTATTTAAGCAGCATGGAAGTTCATTACAGGGCAGATGTTCTTTGTTCTTCTGGCTTTCTGTTGCACATGAACTGTTTTTGAACATTTTCATTCCTTGATGACAGAGGCAGGGGGCTAATAGATAAAAACAGAAATGCTCAGATCGTTTCTTACTGTGATGCTACAACAGGAGCAAACTAAGAAGCATTATAACTCCCATCCCCCCTCTCTCACACACAGAACCAGTAAGAGTCTCACTGAGGACCAATAGCTGCTCTAACCTTCCGAGAATGTAAACCAATCAGAGACAGGGTACAGCACAGACTATTTTACATACACCCTGTATATAATCACTGGTCTCCTCCTCTTGTATCTCATTCGTTGTTGTTTCTAGGAACACATCAGGATGCCTGAACCCGCCAAGTCTGCGCCCAAGAAGGGCTCCAAGAAAGCCGTGACCAAGACCGCCGGCAAAGGAGGCAAGAAGAAGAGAAAGACCAGGAAGGAGAGCTACGCCATCTATGTGTACAAGGTGCTGAAGCAGGTGCACCCCGACACCGGCATCTCCTCCAAGGCCATGAGCATCATGAACTCGTTCGTCAACGACATCTTCGAGCGCATCGCCTCCGAGGCTTCCCGCCTGGCTCACTACAACAAGCGCTCCACCATCACCTCCAGGGAGATCCAGACCGCTGTGCGCCTCCTGCTGCCCGGTGAGCTGGCCAAGCACGCAGTGTCTGAGGGAACCAAGGCTGTCACCAAGTACACCAGCTCCAAGTAAACTCTCACTGCCGCAAACTCAACAAAGGCCCTTTTAAGGGCCGCGCAAATATCAACAAGAGCAATTGTTTCCTTTTTCAATAGTAGTATTGAACATTACCCTCTGTTCTGTGCAAAGTCCTTATTTACTAATGTCTGCTGATTAGCAGAAAACTACACATACTGCCATATCTACTGTCATTTTTG